AAGTCTCTCAAAATCCCATGTTAACATCTGGACAGATTTGAACAAGAATTAGACGAACTCAAAATCTTATTTCCATGTACATAAAAGTGCAATTCTGTGGTAGTTTTGTGGAGAAGTAAAGCAGCTGACATGGACAAAAAACAAAACAAGCAAGCACCGTCAGCTTTCTTCGTGTCGACTGAATCAAGGATTCAAGGACTTAAGGTTCTTTATTGTCATTCACACCACATGTGGTACATGAGGTGGAATGAAATTGTGTACACAGGGTCCCAGTTACATCCAACAAAAGTATAAAATGTAAAAGAAAGACATTAATAAGATCCAAGATGTGAACTAAGAAAATGTTAACTAAAAATACACTAAGCATCAGTAGCATAGTATAGCAGTATCAATAAATCCTCCCTGGATTGGATAGACTTGGACTGTCAGAAATTAAAAATGGCTCACGTGAGACAAAAGGGAATTGGTTTAACCTCTTAAGCCCCAACTCCTGGTACCGGGGGAAGATTTGAACTTTTTTGTTCTACTTTCATTACTGCAAGTTCTCTTGGTTAAGCATAGACATGCGTGGTATCCATAGAAATTTCGGAACTTTGCTAAAAGCTGATGAACCATTTATACAAACACCAAACGGTTAAAACAAGCAGTTGAATCAGCGAGTAAACAAACCCCATAAAATGATGTCACCGCTAAACTGTCTCAGTTGTTCACCACGCAGCATGTCTGTTCTCTTACCCATTTCAAAAATGTTTAATCCCAATCCACCCAGGATTCGATCAACCAGCAGCAAAGAACACCAGAATTATCACCCGTGTTAGAAAAACAATCTAGAAACTTTACTGCTTTGTTTGGTCATTTTTTCTTAAATCCACCAGAACAGAAATATATTTACCAAGCAACTACATCTCCCAGTATGCTTTGCAAAAATTTTCCCAGCCAAATTCTTCCGTACTGACCCAGTTACAAGGAGTTCATTGAAAAAAGGTATAATTCACTCAGCCTGTGTTACACGCCTTTGTCTGTTGGTGATTTGGTGGGACTGACGTGACGGATTATTTTAAGGTTTTCAAAATAATTTTATAAATAAAAGTCTGAAAAGTGAGTCAGGACTTCGTAGAACCACCTTTCTCTGCAGTTGCAGATTGTGTTTCTATGAGCTTTGTATGTTTAGTGACTAAAACTTTTGCCCAATCTTTGTAAAATAGCTGTGGTTCAGTCCTTCTCAAATAGTGGGACGCGCAGGGGAGCGATGCCAGGGGGTGGTGCGTGTGACCCCGGGGAACATCTTTTGCCACAGGGAGTAGTTTATTTTTTGCACCATTCTCATTTTGACAGGGTGCGTTCAGGTACCGGCAACTGTTCGCTCGTATCCAGCAACACTCAGGCTTACTAATAATAAAGTTACGAACAAATATGACTGCCTTGTCTTTCGGGGAGCCATGCTTGAACCGTGTTGCTCCCCTCTGGTGCTGAGACAATAAATAAATAACTCAACATCTCCGCTGCTGTTTTCATGACGCTCTGGGCGCTTGTCACCCACCGCATGCATGCGACTAAGCGAGAGCTACACCCGCCCCCTCTTTCCTCTTTCGCAGAAGGCCATGGACATTCTTCTTCCTTTTGCAACATCTTATCTTTGTGAGATTGACTTTGCTGCTGTTGCTGCTCTGAAGACCAAGTCCAGGACCCAGCTAAACATTGAGCAGGAGCTGAGAGTTGCAGACAGTATCATGCTTCAAACTCTGCTTCGAAAAGCTGTGCACTGCAAAACGTGCTCATTGTAGCCATTAATCCTGCCTTCTTCATTTTGATTAAAAAATAAATCAGCACAAATTGTTTTATTCATTTTTGTTTTGTAGGTCAAAGTGCTTTATATAGCACTCCTTAGTTAAAATGTTGCTGATCAATTTGAATTTATTATTTATTGATTAAATTTTACTTTTCAGTATCAAATGGTCAAAAATGTTTACAGTTTAAATATCAAATGGTCAAAAATGTTTACAGTTTAAATAAGGATAGAAGTTTGTTTTGTTTTTTTTCCAGGCAAGTTGATGCATTTTAAGCCTTTTCTGTTACGGACTTAAAAAAAAAAAACAATTAATAAAGTTATTCTTTGTTGTACGTTGATCTGTATTTATTTTTTGTTTTCTTTAATGTTAATAAAAATACAACAATTTTATAGACAAATTATACTATTTACAGTCGCGGCAGAGAGTTGGGGGGGCACAAAATGATTACTTCTTCCTGGGGGTGGGGTAACAGAAAATTATTGAGAAGCACTGATTTAACTGCATCCATCTTTCCACCATTGAAGAAAAGCAACCCCACAGCATGATGCTGCCACTTCTATGTCTCAGTGGGGATGCTGTGTTTAGAATGATGTGCAATGTTTTCTGCCACATGCAGCGTTTTGCTTTAAAACCAGAAAGTTAAATTTTGGTCTCATCTGATCAGAAACCTTTTTTCCACACATTTATTTGTGGTAAACTACAAACAGTGCGTTGTTCCTTCCAATCTTAAAGCCATTACCCATAAAGGCCATGTTTATGGAGAGGTCAACTAAAAGTTGTCCAACAAACTGATTGTCCCAACTGAGCAGTGCATCTCTGCAGCTCAGGGGTTCTTGGCTGCTTCTCAGAGTTAATGCGCTCCTTGCTCGGTCACCGTTTAGGCGGACGGCCATGTCTTGGTAGGAGCAGAGCTGTGCCAGACTATTTCCGTTTTCACATGACAGATTGAACAGCGAGACAGTTAAAGCTTGGAAGATTGTTTATTAACTTCACCCTGCTTTAAACTTCTTGACTGATCATCAGTGCTCTGTAACAAACCTCTGAGATCTTAACAAAACAGGTGTAGTTACACTGAGGTTAAACAACACACAGGTGGACTCTATCAACTACGTGACTTCAGATGACATTGGCTGCATTGGATTTTGGTGAGGGGTCTCAGAGTAAATAGGACTGAATACTAATGCATGTCACACATTTCTGATTTATTTTTAAATATTTTGAAAACCAGATAACTTAATTATGTGCCATCTTACTTTGGCCCATCACAAAAAAAATCCATGTAAAACACTTTGAAGTTTAAGTGTTTAAGTGTAACATGACAAAACATAAAAAGGTTTGAGGAGTGTGTGAACACCTTTTCAAAGCGCTGCATATATTCATATAGTTTTAGTCTCCTGTTTGCACAAAGAAGGGCAGAACTTCTTTAGACAAGAGCAGTTTTATTATTTGATATGTAAATAATTTCTCTGGGACGATTAAATCCATGAATAAGACTCAAAATCTGTGGGTTTAAAGGACAGAAATGTTGATATTAACACAAGATTTGAGTCAATAATCTGACCAAAGCAGTTTTCAGCTTATAGCCATATCTACCTAATTCTAAAACTGAGTCCAGACTGTTGTGCGTAATTATAGATTTTGCAAAAGTAGTTTAGTTTTACCACACTATGTTAATGAGCTCAGACATCCAGCAGTGTGTGGATGTTGCTAAATGATGGCAAATCAATGTTAAGCTACTAGTTCAACAAGAGTTACGCGTGTTGGAAATGGTAACATCAGACTTTAATAAAACTGCTCTTAGACACAAGAAATTAGAAAGGCATCTGAAGCTACTTTTTTCACCCAGTAATGACTGTTTTTTTTTATTATTAATTGAAAGATAATGAAACAGTTGTTTCGTGCTGACTAAACTGGATGTGTGGTTAAGGATAAATGAATGTCAAGAGTATTGTTCAGTAAAATTCTGTCCTAGAACAGTAAGTTTTCCCCAAATATTTAAATTAATGTCATATTTTCCAAATAGGTACTCAAAGTGACCCATATTACTCTTCTCACGTGATTTATTTTTCCCCTCACACAAATCAAAATTTGTGAGAGGAACTGAAATGCTTTCAGAAGTTCCAGCTTGTAAACCAGTTAAGTTTTCCCATCTTCAATAGAGCTTTAATTGGCACTGGAGGATTCCTCCCATGAAGACTGAAATACTTCATCATTAAACAAAGGTGAAGACTCGGAATGATGCTAGAAAAACTATAATAATATGGACGTCATTGTGTCGACAGGATATTTTACTGGACTGCCATAAGGCAACATATAATTTCACAACCAAAAGCATATGTATATGATAAAGGCCAGCCAACAGTGAGTAACAAATCAATAAAAACATTGAACACATTTCCAACCAAGGTGTTGTGAAAAGAATGGTTAAAAAAATACCATTATTCTGAAGGAATAAAAAGCTCATCTTACTCTTCTAAATAAAGCAAATGGTTTGGGTCTCAGATTTATTTTAGAGGCTCAGAAACAAAAAAAGTGGAAGCATCACAGACTGGCAAAACAGTTGCATCCAGGATCACAGGTTCCTTTTTTTAAACTTTGCATTCTTTACATATTTGAAACTATGTGATTTTCTTTCTGTAAACGTGCATCATGTGTACTCATGTTTGTTTGTTTGCAAATACCAAACATATTTATCCAGCCTACTTGCATCAGCTTCTTATGAATTAAAAAAAAAAAGTTAAATATAACGGAAAACACAACTGTAAGAGTTGAGTAATACTGAAAAACTACAAAGAGGAAATGAAGACAAACCCCAAAAAACCTTCAGCAAGTCCATTGTGTTGCTTTGACGCTTCATGTTTGGCAACTCGTTTATAGTGCATGAAAAGGTGACATTATAATTTCAGCTTAAACACTTATCTTTTAGGACTGTTATTATGCAAATTAAATACTAAACAGTAACAGTACTAGCTCGTTTTAGAAAACACCTAGCATCACAGTGGTGCAGCACTCTTGCTAACTGTTAGCTAGCTCCGGGATTCACCGTGTTTTCCTGCGATAAAGACGCCCACGCCGCTTTACACACTCAGCTACATTAAATGATTTTTTTTTTCTAACAATCGACGTTACATGGGGGAAAGTATCATTACTCGAACACTAAACAAAAAAAGAGCCACATATACATGTCATGTAGAGAGCACCCCTACTCACCCTGAGCGAACAGGGGCTCCGTCTTCAGGAAAACCAGGAAAACCAGGAGGAATTTAGTTAAACCCATCTTGTTTTTTACAGCTAAACTTGATTTTGCTTCAGGTTTTATAACTACAAAAAAGGCAGAGCGGCAGCACGTTTCGCCGTGAAGTTGTAGGACAACAGCGGCTAGCTTCTCCTCTGGATCAGAACCCAAGCTTCTGTCCGAGCGCCGCTGGAGCTTCCTGATGTCATCAGTGCTGCATTTAGGCAACCTCGGAAATATGACTTTCAAAACTTCGATTAGAGGCAGGAGGACAACAAAGCTTTACAGAAAGGCAAACTTTTGTTTATTTCCTGTATTTATCAATGTAGATGCGTTTTTTTAAAATCAGTGCGTATTTTTTTCCATCATTTACTTTAATTCCTGATTGTCTTTTTACTTTGTCCCATTTAACGCAGGCTGCACAGCAGGTGGTTAGCCCCAGCTGGGCCTTTTCTGTGTGGTTAGGTCACTAGTCGTGTGAGCGTGACTCCTTTAGGAGCAGCAGCTGGTTTTCACTCCTACAGAGGAAACATATAATAGCTTCATGCATCTGGGACCTTATGCTTTCAGTACCTCCTGACCATAAGTGAGGGTTGAAACATAAATGGGATGATAATTTGAAAAGCTTTGTCTTTTGGCTCAGCTGCCTTTTCACTAAAACAAACCAGAACAACACTTGTATTCCTCCAGATAAAGCACGATCCATCGGTCCACAATACGGTGGTAAAAAAAAGTTAAACACAAAAACAAGCAAGTGTTTAAGCTAGTGTAGTAAACAAGTTGTTCATATTAGTGCAATTCACCTGAACTATGCAAAATAAAACTACACATTAGAGAGAATTCTATTTTTGCAAATGTTTCTATCTCTGTTTCTTTTTTATGCTAATATTTAGCATATGAAAAGATATGTCCCACAGCACTTGAATGTAGCAAAAGCTGGCTCATGCCATGGAAATCACCCTCAGTTCTTCCAGCAGCAGATACCTGAGAACAGCTCCTTTCCTGGCCAAGAAACACATTTGCACGTGAACTTGACAGACAAAGACAATTTAAAAAGTAACTTTTAGAGACAAAATGTTTTCAAACAGACCCAGAAATCCTTGGATGTATCATTCATTCAACCTTTATTTAGACGGGTAAATCCCATTGAGCCTAGAGGACTCATTTACAAGAGAGACCTGATTTCAACAAAGAATGATGACAACAATGGACAACAGTGACAACAATAGACATAAAAAGGCATACAGATTTTTTTTTTTTAACAAATAGGATGGCAAAAAAAAAGAAAAGTAACAAAAAACAGCTAGATTATAAGGCAAATGTAGAAAACTAAAAACAGGAACATGTCTGCATGTCTGTATCGTAAGCCTTTATGTAACAACATATTTCTCAATAAATGGGAAAAAAATGAAGATTATGGCTGATTTGTCAAACTATCACTGTACCTTTTTTTTTGGGGGGGGGGGGGGGTGTCACTTTTAAAAAGCATGTTTAAATGTTCTATTGATAATTAGGATGTTCTTTGTTTCAGCTTATTCATAACAAGTGCAGGCTTTCAGTCAGGGCAGTAACTAAAGTTGAACTCCATGTGTTTCAGCTTCCTCAGTGGGACACATCCCACATCCTGACGTCAGCTGGATGTGAACGTTTTCCTCCCCATTCCAGCGTCCAACAGACGCACTCAAACATCTGCTCCACAGCAGGAATATGAGGTAAGTAATCGACCAGAACTCTGGACAACTGACTGACTTGATATTTAATTAATTAATAGTCTTAAAAAAAAAATGTATTTTTTGTGTCCAGCTGTGACTCTAAAAGGATTCGAGAGCCAAGCCTGCTATATATTCTCATGTTGCATTCCTGATACTGTTATGCAATGGACACGTTCCCACAGATCTAAGTCGCACAGAAAACTGCAAAGCAATGCTGGAAATGATAATGGTGTATTTTGTTAGGTGTTAACTGTAAAATCATATTTCTAGATCATTTATAAATGTTTAAACTAGTCAAACTGTATTTCTGGCTAACTAAATGACTCTACTCCCTAAAGTGACTAACAGTTGTTGCTCATTTCCTTTCTTGGTAAACTTGTGGGGTTTTTAAACGCTCCTTGCCAACTTATCTTCCTGTCAGGGTGCGTAAACTTGAAACGTTACCCCGTTTTGGTCTTCATGCAACTTCTTCTGAGCTTCAGCAGGTTTTACGACATGTTTCCAACGATGTTTGGTGCTTAAAGCTTTGGAAATATCTTGTAATAACCTGCTTGTTAAACTGCTCTGAGGAAATAAATAAGGTTTTGTTGTTGTGATGGTGAAACAACTGGTGTCAGGGGGTTCATCAGACTGCAGTCAGCTGGTAATTTTCTCAATAGTTTGTGAGTTTTGTAGAGCCCAAAGCAACACAACAATACGAGCAAACTACTTAACGTACTTAAATGTTGTTTAAAGGATGATGGTGGGATTTGAAAGAAATTTGGCGTGGTTGTGTTCAAATTATGTTGTTTGAGGTGGTTTTGTCGCTACGTTTGCACCAAAAACCACAATGGGTTTCACAGAGTTTAGCGTTTTCTTTTGTTTTTTTCTTTTGTCTTTAAGTTTTCTTTTCTTTGATTGTTGAAAGCTTTTAAAAAGCTTCTTTATCTGTCGTATTTTGCTTCCATGTAGATTTTCCTGAGATTTTTTTTTGACAGTGCACTCGGCAATATATCTGTGCAGAGGTATGTTTGTGAATTGGCTCATTTTTAAAACTGGTTATTCAGTTCAACAAAGTTAAGTCAGGTCCTCTGGATGGTTTATTTATTTATTTTTGTTGAAACGTTTTGTCCTTCATCAAAAGGACTTCATCAGTCCGAGGAGCCGCAATGAACTCAGCCCCTTAAGTGGCTTACTCCCATAGTGGGCCAACCAGTTTTGTGGTGATAAGATGGTTTCTGGAGTCCACTCTCTCCCCATCGGTTCAAAACTTGGACTGATGAAGTCCTTTGGATGACGTACAAAATGTTTCAACAAAAAAAAAGAAACCATCAAGAGGACCTGACTTAACTTTGTTGGATTATTTTACCTGGATTATTGAGGATGAACTTTGATGGTTATTAGTCCGTGTCTTGTAGCTTCTTGGAGGAATAGCTGAAAGGATTTTTATGCTAAGGCAAAAAATAGTTTGTCAATTTGATGAAACAATGACCCCCAGGAGAATGCTGTCACGTTTTAATTCACCATCTGGAAAGTGCCAACAATTTCATCATCCAGTGTGACGATAAAGCCCAAAACGAATTCAGTAAAAACACACGGGATAAAACACACACACACACACACACACATATCGGACCATCACCAGGCATGAAAAATGCATGAGCAAAATCAAACCAACTACTAAAAATAAATGTTTTAATGTTCTTTCTGAAGCCAGGAGAACCTTTTCTATAACGACTAAAAGAAAGTACTGTTAAACCTGCCTCTGAAAGAGTTTTTGTTCCGGTCTCCTTACATTCTTCTTAGTTTAGTGTACTGGTAGTTAAGTTTAGTTTATTTTGCACAATTAAAATACAGATCAAAGATATTAAGAAAAAATAATTATAATAACAGTGCACGGAGAGGCAGAAACCCAGTGGGCTTGTATAAAGCCTCCACCCAATACATATAAATAATACAAATAATATCTTACATCCTACATGAACAACATTAAACTTACATCCTGAGTTTCCTCTTGTGTTTTTTTTATACATGCTGCACCTAAATATAATGGAATAAAGGATAATGCACTGGTTTGTTGTAACAATAATTTAATATGTATATTTGCTTTTTCTTTAGAGTCACAAGTGGAGCTGCTTTCAGGGCAGAACGGACTCCCTTCGTGGTCTGTGCTCTTGTCTGTTTCCTGTTATGTTTTGGGAGTTTCACATCATTTCACGTGTTTCCTCCGTGGTTCCAGGGTAGGACTTTATATTTTACCGTGTCTTTATTTCCGTTTTCTTGGTTCTCAGTGCTTTTTCTTTATTTTCTTCCATCTTTTGCTGACTGGTGCTGACGTAGCGCTTCCCCTTTTCTGTTTGCTTCATTTGAAATATTTCAGATTATTTGCAACTCCTGAGTGTCAGATGTTAAAGCAAGTCCTCCTTCCTCATGCAGAAATGTTTTTGTAACCAACCTCCCCCCAACTTGAGTCACTTTGCAGAACTGATGTGCTTTAAAGCTGTCATGTAACATATTTATGTTGAGTGCTTTGTCCACTGAATCAGACCAAAAAGGATTTTAAAACATGAGTGAACCTCGGCTGTGAGGGTTTATATTGAGATCTTGGCTCGGGTTTAACAAAATATAACTTTAAACGAAGTTTAATAATGCATTGGTTGGTCTGAACACAAAATAGATGTTTCACTATAAACAGGAAATCTTTTAAAATAAGATTTTTCAGCCCATCGTGTGGTTTGTGTGTTTTGCATCATTTATTTTTCATCCAGGGGGCTTTAGTTTGTTGTTTTTATCCAACCTTCTCCATGGATTTTTAATGCCTGAACTCTGCAAAGTGCTTTATGTGTGAAAGAGGAAGAGGAAGTGCAAGAAAATATAAATCAAAACCCTAATTTCACACTTTTATTATTATTATATATTTTTTTAACGGGTCAGGGAGGGAACTTGAACTATTCTTTGTCAGCTGAAGGTGGGTTTATCACCATTTAAGTTTGATGCAGCAGGTTAGTAAAGAGTCTATTTATTTATTTACTTATTTCACAGAAACTGTAAAAATGTCTAAATAAACATTTAGATTGTTTTTACATGTTTTACAATAAGGCAGTTTGAGGGTTTGCACTAAAAGAAGGATTAATAACGAGCCAGTGCCTTTTGTCTTTTGCTAAGGCGGTTTTGCTTTTGTATGTGCACGTGTGTTTGTTTGTCTTTCTGTTAGCAAAATATCTCATGAACCACAGGATAGAATTCAATGAAACTCTCAGTAAGAGGTCTTTGAATGTACAGCTACGACTGATTAATGTTTGGAGTCTGCTCAAGTCAAGATAGCCGCCACGGCCAACTGACCACAGAAAGCACGAAAATACAATTCGGTCCATTTTACAGATATGCTGTTCGGCTAAAATTTGGTGCGGTAGTAGCTGATCATTATCTCCAACACACAGTCCGAACACTTCACTGAGATGAAGCTGTCCTGGTACCGCT